TCCAGCATACACCTTCAACAGTAATTGTTAAGGCCGTCTCCTGAGCACTTCATGATATTGTATTTCACTAGTGAAAATAGTCTGTTACATTGTTACAGCTACTTTGTCTGTTTGATTACTCACTATTATACTGCTGCGTACTTTTGTCGCTTTCTTAAGAGGTTTGGGGTTTCAACAACGGATCAACATCATGGCACTCATATAGTAACCCATAAGTGGTCCATTCTTCTTCTAACTCAAGTCTGAGTCCGAAGAAGCTCAGCACAGTGCACAAGCTCTGTAGCACCGGCGAGAATCCTGATATACTTTATGTAGATTTTTAACTGCAAATTCTGCCCTGGCAGCGCCTGTAGGCTTCTCTTTTCGATCTCCAACAGCTAAGGGATTTTTTTTTACGTGGGCAACAATGCCCCCAGGGGTCCGTTTTTACTACCAGGAGAATTACTAGAAGTCTAAGTCGACGTGAAAAAATCCCAACCCTTACCGAGGATTGAACCCAGCACCTCTAGCACACGAGGTGGACACCATGCCTCGAGACCACGCAGCTCCCCGTGGCCTTCTTAATACTTGCATAGTCATTGAATCTCTCTCATGTCTCCTCAACGTTATTTAGCAGTTTGCCTTTTCATGATGCCCCAGTGTTCTACAGGCAGGCATGGAAATCACATGTCAATGACAAATGTGACTAGCAAGACTGCTTCTTCTTCTTCTTCTGCCTTTCTATCCCCCAATGGAGCTTAGGCTCTAAACCAACTTAGGCCAAGTCGTTCTATGTTTTGCCATTGCATGCAGCGCTCCCCATGTCCTCCCAAGCTTTTTAACTTCATTCTCTAAGTCGCTTCTCTGTGTGTTTTTGTTTTAGGGGTCTTTCTTTACTTCTATGCATCTGTGGGTTCCAGAGCAAAGACATTCTAGTTATGTTGCTCTCAGGTGTTTTTTTTTTCAACGTGTGTCCTATCCAACGCCAGTGTCTTTTCTTCATCTCTTGGTCCACTGGAATGTGTTTCGTTCTCTCTTACAGGTCCAAGTCATTAGAAAGGCAAGACTAGGATACATCTACTGAGAAGAGCTTTCCGCAATAAGTGCATAAGGCTCCTGGATCATTAGTGCCATTACCTGCATTTGGTAAATTTCCTCTCAGTTTTTCCTTCTCTGTCCCTATTCCCTTTCTAACGTTCCTGCTCCAATGAATACGCCTCAGTACTCGCATTGCTGACGTTACGCTTGCATCTTTAAATCTTAGGAGATGCCAATCCCAACATATTCTACCTATCTATAACTTCCCAATCGAGGACGTCCTGGTATACTCCACGAACTCCGTTGTGTCAGAAAAATACTAGGTGATCACTGTGAAAATCGCACTTGTCAAACGAAAAGCTTAATTAATCAGTACAACGATCTCGATACCTTTACAGCGCTAGGCCCATGGTTTAGTCACTTCACCACAGAGATTCCGAAGATTACTGTGCAGATAAACCATTATCGTAATCTTTATCATAATCGGTACGTCGAGCCATTGTAGCCTTATGGCGATCACAGTCTAGTCCTTTGTTCTGTTGCATCCTGCGCACTTTTTTTTCCTCGATATCATGTATGGAATCAGGCCCTGCAGCTTCTCTCAGCAGCGTTCGTTTTTACAGTTTCTCGTGGATCTCCGAGTATCCGTAGTCCATCTGTTTACCGTTTTCAGCTTGTTTCGGTCATTCTCTGCTCGCCTCTTGTATCATTCTGTGCTCTCCTCTTCTCTCATTCTCTGCTCTCCTCTTCTTTCATTCTCTGCTAGATTTTTAAACTTTGCTCGCCTCTTCTCTCATTTTCTGCTGGTTTCTACCCTGCATATGCCCAATATACCATCATCTCTAATTCAGTGGCAGCTCGAAGCCAAAATTGATGAAGGCGCTGCTTCAGAAAATCGTTAGTTATTATTTTAATATTGTGTAAAATGAAGGAAACCAAAAAAAAAAAAAAAAACGTGTGCACGAAGTTGATAAAATCATAAAGAAAACTGTATTTCTTAATTACAAAAGCTAAATTGTTACAGTTGAAGTCTGATCCATTCATTTAAATTTGAAATTCAATTTTTTTTTTTTTAAACAGCGTTTGTAATAGTGGCCGGCCCTCTACCCTACTTTATGCCTCTTTTTTCCCCTAGACCATATAAGTATCCTCACAACAGCCACATCCCATGTCGCTGAAACTGCCAAACGTACACCCCCATACAAGGATGTTGTAACTGTCCGTGAACTAAGGGACTGCTACTGACACTAAACTTAAGGACGGATAAACGCCCAAATTGAATATGATTAAATCCGCTGGAAACAATGCTTTCCGTATGTACATACTTTTTACAGATTTTAGGAAAATTAATACTTTGGGCTACCATCAACATATTTCCACGGCTTTTTATTGCAAATGTCATCCTTTTTTGGGAACATTGCAAAATGTGTACTCACCATAGAGCCAAGATATGGCTTCAGCAAGATAAAGATAGCTTAACAAGTATGTATTTAAAAAGTATTGTTTTTTTTTTTTTTTTAATTTAAAAAAAAAAAAACAAAACAAAAAAAAAAAAAAAAAAAAAAAAAAAAAAGAAAGACTCTTTATACAAAAGGTCATCAATAATATATTTTGAAAATACGAGTTATACTGCTAGGCGGTGTCTATGCCAGAGCCGCTGATGATTGTAACTATTGATAAAAGTGAATCGATACTTTTCTTATTTCTTCACCTTTCCTGAATTCATCCCATTATCCCGTCCATTGCGGGCCCCAAGCACGGATAAGAAAGAAGCAGGGTTTGGTATATGACTGGTTTCCTTATGGTGCACAAATTAATTTGCGACGGAAACTCGCATAGACACATACTTATCAAAATAGAATTAGTTGCGTACCTTTAATAGGGCTGTTTTTACAGAACACCTCTGTGTGTGGTTGTTGCAGTATTTCTACGCAAATTTGCCTTTACTAGTTTGCTATTGCGCTTGAACGAACGGCTCTCAATACAACTCTCACAACCTACACAAGGTGGTCTGCTGCCAAGTCGCTTGCAGCTAGGATCGACCCCGGCAATACAAGGCGGGTTCATGACTCCTAAGCCACAGACGCCGAAATAAGGAAACAGCACAAATAAAAATATTTAAAAAATCATCAACAAGACCTCACCCAATTCGTGAGGAAGCTCTTCGCACACTACAGCCAGGGAGATACTGATCCCCAGCGCAATGTCCTCAGTGAAGGCAGCACCTATTGACAACCCGTCAACAAAATTGTGGAGCACATCTCCTGCCATCACCATCCAGGCCAGAGTTTTTCGGTCGGCGTGGTCGTCGTCAGCGGAGAGATGTGAATGTCCGTGTGAATCTTCTTTCTTGTTCTTGTTCAGCGGTGTTAAGGACAGGTCTTCAAAACCATTTTTGCTAGGCTCTTCAACAGTAAGGGATATGTTTTGTTTCAGTTTCTAGACAGAACAATTGATTTGATTAGTTTAATCGTTGGTTTCAATATTTTTTCTAATTATTGATTTAAACAATTTTAATCATTGATTTAAATCATTGTAATTATTGATTTTAAAAGTTTTGAATTTATTTTAAGAATTGTGAGCTGTAACAAACATATGATAAACAAACTGACAGGTTTCGCTTTCATTTATAAATTATAATTTGTAACAAACATAACAAATAAATGGCCGGCGTAACAGATACAAACATACTGAGTACTAAACATTATAGGGTGAACATTTTGGGGAGACTTATTATTTTAAAGTCGGGAGGAGCGACTTCATTTCCCTGGGTTATAACACCAACTTTGGTCTCTCCATTTAATAGCTAGCAAGAATCCCCAAAGATCTCTGTAAAACTACTCTTGTGAGCTGAACAACACTTCATTGAAACGAACCCACAACTTTCAGACCGCAAAGCCATTGACTTGACGACACCGCGGCAGAGATCTATTGGATTAATTATGTATGGGTGAGATTATCAACTTACCGACTATCGTGTTTACTTTCCAAGAGATCTCAAGGTACTAATTTTGGGCAGGTTCGACTTGGGATCAATGAAATATTGTCTGCTTGTTTTCTATGTTCGCTCCCAAAACGGCGGCTGCAATTTCTGTGTCTTTTAGACCATTACAATCGATTCCAGTGCAACACTAATTAGTAGCCCTTTACGGCATGCTTTCTGGGAGGGGGGAGCAGTGGCTCAATTAACCCAGACCCTCCCCCCTCCCCCCAAGTAGTTCAAAAACCAGGGGTGCCCGGACAAAGAAAACATTGGGGAGGAAGGCTGAAGTAACCTTAGACCTGTTTAAGTGGTAGGGATAACGATAATAATAATATTAACTGTTGTCTAGTATCTGCTCAATGACAAATAAATAATATATTTGAAAGACATGAAATGTATTTTTAAAAATACTTAAAAAGGACCTCTATACATACTGACTTCATAGCCTCGATAAGCTTTAACAGCAAAAGTGAAGGATCTCCCTTCATGTAAACAGAAAAAAGTCGTTATAAATCTAAAGTTACCCTGGTAAGTCACATGACTATCTTGAAACTATGGCGATTAGACAAACCATGCATCCACAGTGATCGGGTAATCTGTGTATTTCAGTGTGACTAATTAGGTTTTTGCGTTGCCTTACAGGTTGATTTTACTCTGTAATAACCAACTAGCGAGATACAGTGAAACATGCCAGGCGATACATTCTGCTTGTTTGTGCCCGCATTGTTTCATATCACATTACTTTAAAAAAAAAATTTTTTTCATTAGTATTATAATTAGATGCTACAGCAGCAGCATTATCTTGTTGTGCCGTTTATACGTCAGATAAGGTTTGCAGTCGAGTGCCCCATTCCGTTCTTTCTCATGTAATACTTTCAATATCATAGATGGAATCCAATGCTGCATCGTTTGCTTCTGCTATCTATCATTGTTATACAGCGAAGTGTGTAAGTAATAGTGGTAAAAGAATAATCAGTTAAACTGTAATGTCAGAATCTGCAATGATTCAATAACGCAGAGTTAAATTTTAAACTCCAGTTTGGTTACTTCTGTTCAACAAAATATGTAATATGTGTAAAATGAAGATAAAACATACACACAGATATGCAGATTACTTGTTAGAATTTCCCTAAACCAGGAAAGCTTCACAACTGAACATTAGCATAATGTTTTTTTTTTTTTCTTTTTATTTAGTCCTTTTATTTTAATTTTAATTAATACAGTAAATATTACCCTTCGTTTGCTCAAAAAGATCTTCAAGATTCGCTCGCTGCAGAAAAACACATACAGAGAAAATATGGCCACAGTCGACTTCCATACATAACCTTGTAGCTCCTCGAAGGCCACAATGTCAAATGCCTGAGGAAAAAAATTGCCTTTGGTAAAACTCTCAGACACAAAAGTAAATACTAGCTATATTATAAAATTCAACAGTACTGAATGTCAACTGTGTCCAATATAACAATAGCACTGCTTTACTCTGTTGAGAATAGATATGAGTTAACATGACAGCACTCTGAAATATTCACATGAGTGAGTTGTCCCCAACTAAATCAGTTTGCGTAGTGTTCCAATGAATAATTTGCAGTATTTATGAACTTGTATGTCTTTATACATCAGGAAGTTTATACTTTAACTTATTGTATATGTAAAAGCTCCTTTAATTAATAGGCAAAGCTAGCTTGGAAATGTGATATCATCTGATGAATGTAGCATTATACAGATTAGATCCCGATTTAACCAAAGTAAAAGCAGCTGATGAAGGATAGAAAAAGTTGTTGTGTATGTTATGTTATCACAGTCGACGACACTGCCCTTTGGGCATTCCCATGCGTACTCAGTCCTTCGATACAGTAGCCACTCCAAGGCACCTCTACTACTCTACTAATTGTTCCCATGAGGAGCTGGTTATAATGTCTCCTATCACTGTCTCAAAGGCAGCATAAACATCGTAATAGTGTTAGAGATTCGTCATCAACTAACCTAGTCTATACCGCGCTGATAATATCTGCTCTGCCCATGTTTTTTCCCATAGGTTTTGGCGCATAGATTGCCAGCTGGTCCGCTCCGTCATAACCTTTCACACTAGCCTTGAAAACACGTATGCGTGCCTTCACAAGTGGGCCTACCGACATTATGTTACATATATATATATGCATATGTATATAAATATATATATATGCATATATATACAATTATACTTAACTATACATGTGTGTCTGTATATGTGTGTATGGGTGAGTATAGAACATACCAGCCCTTTCTCCAACAACCCTCACTAATTACTAGAGTACCGCTACAAGCCACTAATTTGGGGCAATAACTATTTCTTAGCCAACATAATTGGAACAAAGAAACTAGGCAATTAAAACCGATACTGCTCCCAGTAGGTTGAACGTGGTCGATTGTTTCTTTTATTTTTCATAAATGGATGGACGGATAGGTGTAAAGATTCATATGAGGGCTGTTAAATGCGATTTCTGAATGCTTTGTACCCACTGATAGGTTTATATTACCTGTCGGGATTCTCTGAAGCATTTCTAAGGTAAATAAAACGGTTCCCGCACGTGTGTCTGTTAGTTCTGCTGTCCATGCTAGTGCTCTAGAAACAGCGGTTATCTCCATGGTAATGGAATACATGCCAAAACATGGTCAATTGTCTTCAAACAAGAGTGTTGAGTGATATCAATCATGTGCAGCTGCATGTAAGTAAAACATGGAGAATACGCGGAGAAGCTAAGAACTATCTAAAATGGGTGAAAATATGTGCCAATCAAATGGAACTGCTGAGCAGTCGAGGATTCCATTATTTTTTTTTTTTTTTGGGGTGCTACAGGTGACCCCATAATAGTACTTTTCTGTGCCAGTGAAAATCACACAAAACGCCTTCCACTGTCCCGTTAGAAAACTAGTGAACAAACTAGTCTTCTTGGCTAAATCGAGAAACTTGCATACTGAGTAAATTCACAAGACAGCAGCTATAGGTACCAACAATAACAGTCTAACAAAAACAAAAAAATTGCAGTTTGTTGCTGATAGAAGTAGTCAGTCTGCACTAGATAGCCGCACACAAACAAAAATTATTGCACAAGTCATGTCGCCAGCCCATTCTCAAACAGTGCATAATACAAACTGTTATGGACACAGACGAAATACATTCAAGGTTTAAAAAAAAAAAACACAGTTCAAAGTGTTGCACCAGGTCAGTTGCTTGAGCCATGAAGTAATACATTTCAAGCAATGTGCAGAAACTGCATAACCACATTATGGCTAGAGGCAAACAACACTTCAGGATACTGATGACCCCAATAGCCCTACATGACCAAAGGTCATTTACATAAACAGAGTATCGTGATCTACTAAAACAACTAAAAGGAAAGCAAGCCTACTGTAAACTTTGTGACAACATAAATTATTGCAACAGTTAGAGGGAATATCAGCATTTCAGGTGATTATGTAATAACTTTTTTTGTTTTGTTCTGTAAAGAATGAATTAATACAGTAATGCTGCTAAACTGTTAAAAGCAAACAAATAAAGAATCAGAGATTGAAGAAAACAACACTGACGCTGCACGGAAAAATTAGAGAACATCTGCCAACTGAAAGTCCGTCTCTGCAAACCACAGGACAAAAGAAATAGATAGGTGTCTAGAATATATGGACGAATAAATCCAAATTAAAAAGACAGGTAGTAAATGAAGGGAAATGTAGGAGAAAGCAAAGAATATGAGAGTGAATAGTATGTTGTTTGTGTGAGAATGCTCCAAAAAGAAATAAGCAACATGGTATCATTATCATCATGTAGCAGGTTCTTAGCAGAACGTCGCTATCATCACGGTCTGCCTGAAAGAAACTCGGTCTCTCGCCAGCTCTCCCGCCTCATGTGCATTCATACTCAAGGAGTCACTTATATCCTGTGCCCATCTTCGTGTTAGTCGGCCCCTGCCCCTCCTTCCTGGTACCATGTCTTCTGCTATTATTTCTTCCAATCCGTCGTGGCGCTTGATATGACCAAAATATTTCAGCTTCCGAGACAGGATGCTGTTTATTAGACAATCTTCCTTGATGTTCAGATCTTTTAAGATGTCAATATTTATCATTTTCTTTGTCCAGGATATTCTGAGAATCTTTCTATAGCATTTCAGCTCAAAAGCCTCTATTCTCTTCCTTAAGGACTGAAATATAGTCCACGAGTCACATCCGTATGTTGCTACAGGGAAGATGCATGCTCTTAACAACAATAAAACTATCACAAATGTATAACATGTTATACATTTCAAATAATCTGACATGGAAAGAAACTTTTATAAGGTTATCTATAACACTACTCAATCTCTAAGAAAACCGACATATTTATGAAATGACAGTTTGGCAACATGACTTACTTCTGGAATCAACACCAGCAAGCCAGTAGAGGCCAGGGAACCGGCTCCCATTGCTACCAAAAATTGGAGAATACGCTTGAAGTACCTTTTGTCCATAATGGGACCCAAGCAAGCCCCGATGTTTGAGATTACGATGACAATGCTGGTAAACCCAATACTGTATCCCCATGCTATGAAGAAAAATAAAAAGGTAGAATGATTTTTAGCGAGGTGTGTGTTTTCATAAAAAGTACGACACATAGAGCTTGCTTCAAGACATACAGACTGGTGTCCTACACCAAGGTGGATAAAAGTCATTGATGATACACTGGCTATGGGTGCACACAGGGATGAAGAATTGCACATTCAGGCGCTCCGTGAGGATAGCGACGTTCTGTAATGGACCTGTTGTTTGAGGATGATGATGATGATTATGATGACGGTCTTAGTTTAGAGTGGTTCGCGTCACTTAATAGGGTTAAGATTAGGGGCATAAAATAGATTAACTATCTAGGACATTCGAACGGGCCTGGTAATGAGCAGAGGGGCGTTGAGCTACTTTATGATAAATGTGACGTGGTGATCAAGTTGGGATCTGGGATCAAGTGCACAGTGAACCGAGCCGATAAGGTATCATACATCAAAAGACGGGTTCAGGGGATACTGGGGGGAGAGGGGTGGATAAGTGAAGGGTCTGGGCGGTTTTTTAACGCTCAAACGAAAATACAAGCTTAATGCCCCGAGTGCAGTTATGTTGATTCTTCATTCTTTCATTCCTACATTCATTCATAAAAAGTGTATTACTGAGCAACTAATGTATACATACTTTTATCTAGTCACATAACACTATGTGTCGTTGAGTCACTAACGTACTGCTGACTGATCCGATCTTTACATTTCTGGTGATCAGATGAGACAGATTTGACATTTTGATGTTTAAGGCCCGTCTTGTCTGACAGATTCTAGATCCGGGTTTGTCTTGGACAGTCTCGTTCTCTCTTCCCTAGCATCGAGCCCTTATGGTATAATTTATATGTTTAGGGAAGGGAAGAGGGCCCTATCTAACACCCACTGTCGGACCTAACGTCTTCTTTGTCCCTTAGAGAGAACGAGGCTGGCTGGTTTTCTTCTTCTTGGTTGTTCACCAGCTGTAAATTCCTGCGGAAGTTCTGGTTGTTTGTCTACCTCGGGACTTTAGTTTTTTATTCCAGAACCTGTATGTTGCGTGCTCATCCGCTTAACATATTTTACTTAATTGTATACAGATTGTTGGTTGATTGCCTCTCAGAGAGATGCACTCCGACTTCGAAGGACGCCCCCAGTTAGTCGACTCTTACGACATGTTTGTTGGGGAGGCAGTGGTTCTATTCTTGTTTTCCCACAATGGGGCCCAGGAACCCAGACAGGGATGGTTGGTTTTGTATATAACTGTTTAATGGCATTTATGAGGACTTGGGTGGGGGGGGGGGGGGTAGGGGGAGTGCCCTGCAAAAAAAAATGTAATGCTTAATATATACTTCAACAACTGATGGAAGAATGCAAGTTATTTTAACAACAACAATTGGACAATGTGTTTAAAATTGTTAATATTAGCATCTAACACTTATTATTACAGCGACTAGTTAAAATAAAATGAAAAAAAAAAAAATTGCAGTCCTAATCGAAGACTGTTGCTTTTGTACTTCTGGTGGCTGCCTTGTACATTGAATGATTGTATCTGCTGTTGGCTTTGTTGGAACTGTGGTGTGATTCTCACAGGAGAGAGTGATACGCATTCTGTGTGGATTTTACTGTCACTGTAAAGGAGAAAATATGGAGTGATCCATTTGCCGCTAACTCGATTGGCCTGTTGGACCTCCAAAGACCAGTGTGTCTCGGCTAAGTGTTGTTACCACCATTACCGCGAGTAAAGCCATTTTTTGAGAGAACGTGAAACTATCCATTACTGCCGTAATTCAACCTCTTTAGAGATTTAAAAAACAACCACAGTTGAAATTTGTTGTGTATTAATTTTTTCTGGCCGACTGTGAAGTCTTTAGTTTCAAGTTACCTTTCCGTCTGTCTTCTTAGTCAGATTTCTTCAGCCATGTTGAAGATGGAAATATGATCTACGGGTTTTAGTAAGCACGGTTTGATGTAACTACTGCATTGAAGACGGAAATTATTTACTTGTTCATTTTGAACAGAGGATGAGAGTCGCCGTGGTGTAGCGGTTAGGCGCTCGCCTGCGGATCGAAAGGTCGTTGGTTCGGGTCCTGACGGAGCCAGACCTTTCTTTCAAACATTGCGTTGGCTACCAGGTCGACCCAGGATTGAGTGGATACCACCTGGGAAGTAAAGGCAGCTGATGATGACCACATAGCCCACCGAGCTCCGATTGATTTATAAAATATTTGTCTAGCCCTATATGCCCATTGTGCATAAAGACGTAGAAAAAGAGTCCTTTTTTTTTACATTTGAACAGAGAACATTTTCTTGAAAATAGAAACCTGAAATTACAGTTGATATGATAGAATTGTGGTTTTATAGTTGTTGTTTTCCTCTTCAGATTAATTATGTGCGTGCCATTTTCACAGTAGATGTAAGTGACAATGGATACATTCACTAGTGTCTGATTTAACATATGGTGCTGTCCTAATCTCTTTCACACTTAGTTGGTCTTTCCTCCTGGGTCTAGGACGGCTCATTGGGCAGAAGTCATAGCTCTCCATGTCTGGCGGTTCGTTGTCATCTGCATTAAGTCTTAGATGTTTGTTAGGCACATGGATGAGCCTTCATTGATAATAGTTCTACCTAGAGTATCTCTTGGTTTTCCTCGTTTTCTTTTCCCTTCCGGTGTCCATACGAGGGCTTGATGGGGAATTCTTGTCTTATCCACTGTATGTGCATGGCTGATGTAGTTCCAGCGGCGCTGTCTTATTAAACTGGAAACACTGTCTTGCTCGACATCTTGTCTTACTTGTGTATGGGATCTTAAATCTGTCCAGTGAAGATTTAGTATTCTTCTATGACATCTGCTCTCAAGACTGTCTATTTGTTTTTTGTTTTTACCTAGAGCTATTGTTTCTTTCCAACTCTCGCATCCTTAAGTTAGCACTGAAATCACACACGACTTGATGATTATAAGATTTGTGTGATTGCTGAGTGGCTTTAATTTCAAGATGTTTGACAATTTGTTAAAGGCACTAAATGCGAGTGCGATTCTAGATGATATTTCTGGTGCTAAGTCCCCTATAGATGTCCCCTAGGTATGTAAAGATGCTGACTTTATTTTTTACAGTGCAGCTTTATAATGCCAATGTCTGTAAGTCACAGTCATTATCTTCAGCAGGGGTCTCTTTTACAGGGAAAAGAAAGCCAGTACAAACAACAAAGTACCTAAAAACAGGTGCTGGTAGGCACCTCACTAGCGCTGAAAAAAAAAATGTCTAAACAAGGTGCCGGTACTGTGTACGGTTGCATACCACTCTGCAAATAAAAATAGCACTGGTCTTCAACGTAATAGTTTACACCCAGTAGTTTTGTACAGCAACACTGCGACCAGTTCAAGGTCACAAGTTTTAAAAAACTGTTTTAAATCCTGTTTTTGAGAACCCATTATTATAGCACATCACAGATGTTCGGTCTTCCACAAAGATGTCTTAAGGTGTAGAATGTGGCTGTTGATTGAGGAAGAAGGACATTGGTTGTAAACATGCTGTATTGTTCTTGTGATACAATGTTCTTCCCCAGACTAACAATTCCTTCTTTGTTTACGCATTTTAGGAATATTTTTAGGGAGCGGTTGGCCGAAGTTGGGCTCTTACACCCAAAACCGGAGTTCGATCCTGGGTAAGGGATAGAGGTTTTTCTTTTTCTATTTGGGAAAACATTAAAAATCCTAAACTGCACAGTTCGTGGTGTACTAGCCAGGCAAACATAACCCTAAAGTCCCGATGAAAAATTGGATATTTTTACATGGACTTCAGTAATTTCCCGTGGTCTCTGGGTGGTGAGATAGAACACCCGTCTGTTGTGTATTCTTGCACAGGTAGAAAATCCCTTGACAGTTGGAAATCGAAAACAGTAGCCTAACGGCACTGCCCAGGCAAAATGTTTAGGTAAAATCTACCCAAAGTATATTAGGATCCTCATCGAAGCCTCACAGTTGGTGCACTGTGCTGAAATTCTTCGGATTCAGACTTGAGTTAGAAATAGAACGGAGCACTTATGCCCATTTACTAGCTTAGTGCCATGGTGCTGATTCGTTGTTTGAACCTAAACCTAAACTAATTGCAACCCTCTAATCGATCCCTTTTGTATCCTACCCTTTCCCGTCCTACTGCACGCACACGCACGCACACACACACACACACACACACACACACGTGCACACACACAGCCACACACAAATGCGATTAATACCATAATGTACCACTTTTGCAGTGTAGACGGGAGGTTTCTTTGAGCCTGAGTATTAGATCGCATGGGTAGTGCTGTCGCCACGGACTGTGCAGGCTAAGATTTTGTCCCCCCCCCCCCCCCTCGCAGAAGAAAAAAACAACCTCCAACAATCCTGAGGATTCGAACCCGGGGTCTCCCACTTGAGAACCCAGCGTCGTTTTATCAATTCTGCCAGCCGCTTCTTCACGGCCCTAAAAGTGGTAGATACAAACAGTGAAGGCTTTTTCACGAGTATTTTTGTATTTATCCATTTGAAGCATTACCTTGACCAACAGTAGGCTTTCGATGGCGCAAGCCACTTGTGTTATTATGAATGTGCGGATCTGAACAATTCTCAGAGGTTAGAGTGTTGAAGATGACTGGCAGTGCATGGATGAGTCCTTCAGCTTTCAGTTGAGTGTCTTGTGTAAATGCCAGGAACACTTCTTCTATTCCTGGACACTGTAAGATAAGACAAGTAATTGTGTTACTGTTGATAGCCGCCCAAAGCGATGTAAACTGTGACTAGCAAGAACCGGTCGCTTCAAGAACAGTCAACTAAGGCCAAAGAGGAAGGTCGATCAGAAGCCGGGCGGCAGGTGTCGCGGCTAGACTCTAGCCTGCGGATTCGAAGATCGTGGGTTCAGATTCTGATGAAAACCGATTTGTTTTCAAACAAACAAGAAAATCCGTGGCTTCTAAATCAATACATATACTTAAATGGCTATAAAGTGAAGCTATGGAAAGTGAAGGCAGCCGGCGGGATGTTGACCACATCACCTCCCAAGTGCCGGTAGTTCTATAAAATACAGGAATAGCCCAATGTGTCTAAAACGTGTTGAAAATGGTCATTTAAATATGTTACCGATAGAAACTGCCAGCTGTGTTGGAGAGTGCGACTAACAAGACTTGTTCTCTTTAAGAAAAATAAGACTGGGCCGCGGATGATGCTGGATCGATCGATCCGTTTGTTCCCTCCAGGTGCTACACGTGGAGGTTTACTATCCTGAGATATAAAAAAAAAAGTCCCCAGTCTGGATGAAAGAAGAACATGGTAATCCCATTAGGTTTAAATTAAGGCCCCGTAACGGCTACACCACTTGGTGTAATCTTCAGCCCTTGACAAGCAAGGACAGGGTTGCAATGACTTCAAAAGCTTCATTTTTAGGATGTTCCCTGCTTGCCTAACAAAGGCAGATTTTCAAAGATTGCGGCTGTCATATTAGGACGGCAAGACAAGCATGTACCACACACACAAGATCGACGTATCCAGTGTGCACATCAGAATGACTCGGACAGTCCCATTTTGCAAGCATTATGCCATCTAATAGCGTGAGCAGTCTTCTTTCGCCTTGACTAGCTGTGAACTCGTTAGAAAGTTCTGGTTCTTTGTCCAGCTCTGGACTTTACTTGCTAAAAAAAACAACTGCCTTTAGTATTACACTTTTGCCGTGAAGGCGAGGAAAATAAAGGGGAAGAAGGGGGGGGGGGGGGGTCTTTGAGCCAGAGGATTTAGGGTCGCATGGCTAGTGCTGTCACACAACTGTGCGGGTGAAGTTTTTATTTATGCCTTCGACACCCACAAAAATTCCCCAACGTTACTGAGGATTCGAACCCGCTATAATAAAAAGCCAGGTAACTATGCAAGTAAAAATCACAGTTCCAATTTTCCCTTTACTCCGAAAAACTACACAACTTTTCTTAGCCCGTATTTTACGGCCGGAATAGCTACTCGGCCCATCTCAAAGTAGGTCATGGTCTATTCTTTTTCCTGTCCCACCCCCCCCCCCCCCCTCACAAGAGAGCTCCGCCAATGATCCTGGTCTATCTTCTCATATGATCACCAGAGACTCGGATCAGGACTGCGATCTTGTACCTATAATTTCATGTGGCCAAACCAACCAGGTTAAAAAGTAAAAGGACCCTTGTCCACGCCTGCAGGCGTATAGGGCATATAGGGCTAGACCTATATTTTCATAGACCGATCGGCACAAGATGGGTGATGTGGCCAGCATCCCGCCGGCCCCCTTTACTTCCCAGGACTGCACTCGGTACCCACTCAAGGCTGGGTCGACTTGGAAGCCAAGGTCATTTTTGAAAAAGTCCGGCTGCGCCAGGGAGGGAAACCCACGACCCTCAAATCCGCCCCCGCCAATGATTCTGGTATATCTTCTATGATCACCAAAGACTCGGATCAGGACTGCGATCTTGTACCTATAATTTTATGTGGCCAAACCAACCTAGTAAATAATTCATTATCATTCTCTTGTTTTCCATGTATCAAGCTTTTCAGCCGTCACAAAGTTATCATTCCCATTCATGAAAAGTGTAATTAGTTTCGCCTAGACACAACAGGCAAGGTCATTGTCGTGATTTGATTACCTGGACACCCGTTGTGATAACTTCAAATGGATAACCGATACCCTTAAAATGATCTAACCCGTGGTGATACACTGGAGTTGTGTCAACTGATAACGGCACAGATAAGTTTATCCTACTGTTTTCAATACAACCATGGGCGTAGAAACAAACAACACACTGGGGGTGGGAAGTGCGTCTAGTTTAGATCAGCAATAATAATAATAAAATTATTATTTTTAAGTGTGTGTAGCGGCTAAATTTAATCCGTGGACTTAAAGGTTGTAGTTACAAATCTGCTTCTAGTGATTTATTTTTAAATTACCTTGGCTTCCAGGGTAAAGTCTTGGGAAGTAAAGGCGGCCGACATGAAACTAACCACATTATTCATTGAGTGCCAACAGGTCTATACAATAAAGGTCAAGCACCATGTACACAATATGCCTAAGGTCGTGGTATAGGGTCATTTAATTATTATAATTTTTTTTTTCTGAACGGCAGACAAATATAGTAATGTGTTTGAAATAGTACACATAATAATTTGTTTGAAATAGTATGATATGTATAAAACAAATGCTTGAAAAGAGAGCATCTGTACATAGCTGGAGGTTAGGAAATGGTGGAAGGGTAAGGGGGAAGGTGTGGGGTGGCGCACAAAGTCGTCTTGTCAATTATTTAAAATTCACCCCCCCCCCCCCCCACTTCCCACAAAAACTGGTGTTTTGGGCGGGGCACTTAAGGAGCCTGAACCCTCAGGTTATGGCGCCCCCGAATACAACGCATAGTAAAACTTGCAAGCTCAGACATGGTACTGAATAATCTCCTCCCTGTTGTCTGTGTTATAATGGCGCCCGTAAGAAAGGCAAAGATCGATATCAGTTACCTAGCCAGCATGTCTTAACTCATTCAGTCCCACAAGATCTCAAGGGACAGGGATATGCAGCTCGCAGCCTGCGGGTCGAATCCAGACCGCAAATGCCTAGCATGTGGCCCGCGCGTAAAATGTTTATCACAAAAATAGGATCATATCACGTGTTTCTTGGGAAGAAGAAGGGAGGAGAAGGAGGAGGAGAAGAAGAAAAAGAAGAAGAAGAAGAAGAAGAAGAAGAAGAAGAAGAAGAAGAAGAAGAAGAAGAAGAAGAAGAGAAGAAGAAGAAGAAGAAGAAGAAGAAGAAGAAGAAGAAGAAGAAGAAGAGGAGAAGAAGAAAAGACAGAAAGAAGAAGAAGAAGAAGAAGAAGAAGAAGAAGAAGAAGAAGAAGAAGAAGAAGAAGAAGAAGAAGAAGAAGAAGAAGAAGAAGAAGAAGAAGAAGAAGAAGAAGAAGAAGAAGAAGAAGAAGAAGAAGAAGAAGAAGAAGAAGAAGAAGAAGAAGAAGAAGAAGAAGAAGAAGAAGAAGAGGAGGAGGAGGAAGAAGACAAAGAAGAAGAAGAAGAAGAAGAAGAAGAAGAAGAAAAGAAGAAGAAGAAGAAGAAGAAGAAGAAGAAGAAGAAGAAGAAGAAGAAGAAGAAGAAGAAGAAGAAGAAGAAGAAGAAGAAGAAGAAGAAGAAGAAGAAGAAGAAGAAGAAGAAAAAGAAGAAGAAGAAGAGGAGGAGGAAGAAGACAAATAAGAAGAAGAAGAAGAAGAAGAAGAAGAAGAAGAAGAAGAAGAAGAAGAAGAAGAAGAAGAAGAAGAAGAAGAAGAAGAAGAAGAAGAAGAAGAAGAAGAAGAAGAAGAAGAAGAAGAAGAAGAAGAAGAAGAAGAAGAAGAAGAAGAAGAAGAAGAAGAAGAAGAAGAAGAAAAAGAAGAAGAAGAAGAAGAAGAAAACTGTTAAGTACGAATACCGCATTTGTTACTATAATGCTTTTTCCACTACTGCTGCAACCAATAAGTGACAACAATAACTAACACGAATACAACTGTTCAGTATTACACTATTACAGCATCTAATAACAACACACTTACTTCTTACCTGGGTCAACTTAGTGCAGTTTACCGCATCTTGGCACGTTCCCAAAACAGTCTCAATGTGAGATCTCGTGTGCCCCGTTGCCGACACCAGGAAGTTGGTAAACTCCTCAGCTGTCAGTCCCTGACTGGTATCATATGCACGTGCTGCATAGCGCTGTATCAGGCCCTCTGTGGCTTCTAGAACTTGCGACTGGTCAGAATTGTTGGAAAAAACACTTGCAGAGACCACTCCAGTCACATACAGCCACACCAATAGCCGAAGAGAAAGGCCACTGTTTAACATATTTTTGCTTGGTAAAAACGTCTGCCTGTCGTAGTGGAAAGTAAGTCAGGTGACACACATGCTACTGCGTATATTGCTACTGTAAACAACACTTTCCAATTGAATTACATCCTATGCGACTCTAAAGCACCCGCACTTACGACCACACGCACACAAGAAAAAGAAAAGAAAAAAGGATAACTTTAATGATAGGGTCAAACAGTTTACAGAAACAGATGTAACAGGGCACGTCATTTGTATTATTCATAAACTTATGACAAACTTGCGACAACACAAGGAAAAAATTGAAAACGGTTTAACCTTTGAAAATAAGGAATTCATGACACACCCACAACATAGGACAGGACGGGCGACTGGCTGCGGCCTGAATGGGAGGGGAAGGAACTCTCGTCATGCGGGCAAATTGGTGATAAATACCATTATTCACATAATGCACAAAGAAATGATAGACCAGAACAGCAGTTTGTGTTTTAACTACAATTATTATAACCTGATTGAATGAAAATAGTGTTTAAAAATATAAGTTCGACTTACAGTCAATCAGAGTTACGGTCTGTTAGTCGGAACGGAAACAGTTCGTAAGTCAAGGAGACGGTGTAGATATTAATCCCACCCTTCACAGTTTATGGCGACAGCACAAACTATACGGCGCTAAATCCCTAAAATCAAGATTTCCCCGTCCTACGCGGCCTAACAAGTGGCCGACCTCGGCTGCACTGACAGTAATCAACTAGTTCACTTATTTCGTATGTATAAGTTAAGACACTATCAAAAGCTGATATAATGATAACATAATATTTCAAGAAGTTGCAGAATAGTTTCTGATACAGTACTGTAGAAACGTGAAACTATGGCCTTATTCAAGATTACTACAAGCTGGGGCTGTTATACAATTGAAGGCTGTTACGCTGACTTTCTTTCACCAGGCTAGATTTACGGTAATTGATAACAATGAGAATCTATCAGGACTTAACAGTACATGTGATTTATATGACGATCATACTCCAACATCATTGAGGAACATACGTGTGACACTAATGTCTGCCGTGGAAGGGGTGTCGACAGAAGAAAACACGGTCTGTCACAGCTTCCTTACAAATTTGTTTTCGAAGGAAGCGCCTCAAGGAGCCCAAGCCTTGTTTAAATGTCTAATAATGGTAATATTTAAATGATGAACTGAAATGAAAAAGGTATATATTATAAAAAATCAAAATGTGTGCGTGGTGTGTGTGTGTGTGTATGCTTATTTGTGTATCCTTTACAGGATTCTGCAGAACCTACCCCAACATTTTTGGCTTTTGTAAGCAATTTTATGTCCAGTAGCTGTTGGACGATAGTTTTGCTGTTGTTACTGGACAATCGACTCACAATACTACTGTCGAGACCAACACAATGCGACCGGCTACCAAACCAACCACAGCTGGCATCCAACCCGGCAACTCGAATGTATATGTATATATATATATATATATATATATATATATATATATATATATATATATATATATATATATATATAGACACACACACACACAAATATACACATTTATTCAATATAAATAGTTCTATACATTGTTGTGTGGAACATCTTAGACACCTTACTCATGTAGAGGAGGTGATGGGGATTGGAAAGATGGGGAGGGGGAGAGAATGAGATCCCTCTAAAAATGTCAGTGTTTAAGGTGCCTAAATCCCCATGGTTCCGGCACGCCTGTCACGTGGTTTGGCTGGATCAGATTTCGTTATCTGTTGAGCATGTAAACCAGTGACCCCAAACCTAGGAGGATGCGAGGAAGTCTGCAGGTGGGTGTCGAGCAGTTTTGATACCGAGTACATTTGTACTGGTAATAATCCAGATTTTCAGCGTTAAGGTTAGTTGCGTATCCTTTACAGGACGTTGCAGAACCAACCCCAACAGCCCCTGGCTGTTGTGTTTTTTTTCCTAGGCAAATTTACGTCCAGTAGTTTGCCATTGCTTCTGGACAATCGGCTTTCTTGATACCACTGTCGAAACCAACGCAAGGCGCATGGCCCGCAGCTGGGATCGAACCCGGCATCCCGGCGTTACGAAGCGTTCGCATCGACTTAGCCACAGAGCCGATTTTCAGCATTAACAGTCAAGAAAACAAAACAGAGTTATCAGCTTGATCTTGAGAGTGATCTTCGGCGTGCCTTGTCCAACATCAAACCAAAAATAGCAGATATCATAAGAACAAAACACCGTCAACCATCACCATGATATTTGAACACTAAATTTAACTAATTCTTTGTTGAGAGTTTCGTTTGTTATTTGATACTTTGTTTTATTTAAATGATTTTCTCCAAGCTCTGGGATTTTCGTTTTTATCATCCTCTTTTTAATCGGATGTTATTATAAGGAGTGGGGATTTGGAAGTGTGGTCGTGGTGGGGGGGGGGGGGAGAGGGGGGACTTGTTGTATACTTAAGGGGGCGCCACCTGAAAAATGTTGGAAATCACTGCCATAGGCACCGGAAAGACGAACGAGGTAAAGGACTTGACACGGTATCCTGACTAGGGTAGTTAGGAAGGTGTACACTTCATTATGTTTAACGTTTTCTTCTAAGCTGAATAGAATGTGCGCGGGTGAAACTCACCATCAATTGGACTATACACTACTGCGTAGCCGTTTGTGGTGCCCCAATATAACTGTGCTTTATAGCTAAACGGTTTAACGAAGGTCTAAAGGATTTGTACCCGTTTGATTCTCATCTTTAGGATTTTAATGTTTGTTCTGTTTGTTTTAGTATCCAGAAGCCATGAGTTGTTAACCCTCAGGCTCAGTATTATGGACATCGCAACCTTTCGGCCTTGATTCCATCTTAAATACCGTAAATCTGGGAGAAATGTGGCTTTTCTGCCAACCCCCGGGAGTGAACCCAAAGCACAAGGAGTTCGTCACCCGCTCACCGCGCAATCCGGTTTAGCCATCTACGCTAGAGAGACGGGCTTGGGATCTTAATACTACAGGCTACACTTCTGGAGGGGGAAATGTATAATCACAAATCATTTTTTTTTAAAGCGGATGTGATAAATTCTCTCTGTGATTATGGGGACTGGCAGCTGAACAGACAGGGTCCATGAAAAACACAATATATATAGATACATTTCTGTACCATTAAGAAATGTTATGCCCATCCGAAAAAAAAAATGAGCTTGCGAAAGGCAGCCTGAACTTTCAACAGCGACTCAGAGATAAATAAGAAATAAAATTAAAAAAATTAAAGATCCTTTTTTACGCCTAGGGCGCATCGGGCATATGGGAAGAGCAACCATATTTTCACAGAAGAATGGCACTAGGAGGGTAATGTGGTCAGCATTACTTCGGCATTACGTCCTGGTACCCGTTTTAGGCTGGGTCGACCTACGACGCCCCATACCACGATAAAAATCCACGCAGCCAGCGGTGGGTTTCAATCGCGGTACGTTGGATTTCGAGTAGGACTCGCGACGCCTAAGCCACGGACGCCGCACTCAGAGATAAAGTGACCATAATATACTTAACTCAAAATGAAACATCCCACTTATATTTTGTGCTGAAAACGTGACATTTCAAGCAAGCTCGTTTAACCCTGCCCCGCTTTTTTCAGGTCAACAGAGTGAAAGGGTTAAAATTAAAATTAAGAATAAAGGGGTAATTACTCACTCCACAGTACCATTAAAACCAGAACCATTGACGTCAAGATATAAACGAAACACGAGGCTCTTTAAGTGCACTGGAGAAAAAATGCTAAACTGAAAATTGCCAAGACATATTATGTAGCATTCTAAGTTCCTAAACATATTAAATCTAATGGGGGTCTACAGATATGACTATATGTGTTTGTTTTGCTCTCCAGTATAATCATTTGTTTCAAAATTCAAAACCGAATAATTCACAGTTTTTAAAGTGCCAAAGGGACGGCACGGACACAAACACACTCACGCACGCACGCACGCACACACACACACACACACACACACATACAAAACGGGACTACCAGTGGGAAAAAAAATAATAGACGTATGGTCACCTTACTGAGACCACCACTTTTCGGACAGAAACCCGTTGACAAGTACAACTCAATTATATTGAGACACATAAATGTTACCGGCCGGCGTGATGTTGACAACATAACCCACCAAGTGCTGATTGGTTACTAAATATAGATCTTGCCCAATTGGCCTGAAGGCGTGAAAATCAGTCCTTTACTGACTTACTTACTTTACATGAATGTTACGAAGTGACACAGTGACAGTGGGAAAGTTATAAGTGAGGAGAGGCAGGGGGAGATAGAACAG